CTCTACACTGAGCACGTTTAACTTCAGAGTTCTCACAAGAACTCCAATTCACCCCAAAACGCGTCTTGTCAGTTAAGGTCGGTTTCTTACTTATGAACCATGGATCTCTCCCGTGCTTTGTCGATGTGGGATTTTCCTAATGTGTTACATACCCCCCCCCCTTTGGACTCAATGCCCTCGTTAAGGTTTGCCCCCACCATCGTTCAAGAGGGACGCGGAGAGGCTCTGATACCACTTGTAACATCTCGAACCTTTTCCCGACGAAGATATTGTCGGCTTTCGGCCTCGACCCTCACAGTTTTCGACTTGGGGTGCAATTCAAGGTGATTTCCCATAAGGTCACTCATCCTTATTGCACTCCACACTGAGCACGTTTAACTTCAAAGTTCTCATAAGAACTCCTCCATTTCACCCCAAAACGCGTCTTGTCAGTTAAGATCGGTTTCTTATTTATAAACCATGGATCTCTCCCGTGCTTTGTCGATGTGGGATTTGCCTAAAGTGTTACAATTACTTTTGACATTAGACACTTTGGATTCAAAATATCGATCAATACAAAATAGGACTTAGATCTAGAGCTGTCAAAATGGAACCCGACCCGAGTAACCCGCCCGATTAACCCGACCCATAACCAGACCACAACCCGATTTGACTAAAAGTCAATGACCTGAAACCCGCCCGACCCGTAACCAGATTGATCCGCAGCCCGATTAACCCGCAACCTGATTGACCCGCAACCCGATTAATCCGAGTCTGATTGACCCGCAAACCGATTAAACCCGTAACCCAATTGAGCCTAACCCCACTAACCCGTGACCCGCCCGATTGACTTGAATAATTACTATATCATATAATAAATAGTGTTTCCAAATGAATTTTTTTTCTAAACCTAACTAAAAACCATTTTTATTTCGTAAAGGAGAACCCAATTATATATAAATAGAGTGAAGTGATTTATTTAATAATTTGATTATTTTTTATAAGGATGAACCCAATTTTTGGCGCTAAATCTTTCAAGTAGGCTTTTATCATACAAAAATATGGATGACACAAAAGTGAAAAGTTAAATTGTTTTAGCAATTTCTATCTACAGATAGAGAGCCAAAAAGGACGGGGGAAATAAAATTTGTTTGGCGCTTGACAGTCAATCTTGAAAATTGGCAATGGCCCGCGAAACAAAAAATACTTGGCGGGTCATCAAAATTAGGCGGGTTAGTAAATTTATAAACATTGGCGAGGGTATTTTCTTATGGTTCATAATAATGGGGTAGTTGACTGGTTGTGGACTAATAACATCCATTTTCTTAATATGTTTCCTCAAACTAGCACCAGCACGATTAGGAGTTTTTTAAATGGTTAGGTAAAGTTTAAATTTTGGGATTTTGATGAAATTGAAAACTTAATAGATGAAGCCAAAATCATATTTTAGCACTATCAAAAAATTTAGAGCCAAAAAATTGTGTAGTACTAGGATTAGTAGTCTTATAAGTTATAGGAGTGAATTGATTAACAAATCTATGAAAATATTAGACTAACAAGATTGATTTAACTATTTGAACTTGTTGTTGAAATACCTTGAATCCATGAACGTACATTGATTTCTCTATATTAATGGAGAGTCTTTTGTTGTAAAATATGTATGATGTATCGAAGTTGTAAGTGAGTAACCCGATAATTAGTGTAATGTAATTTGTAAGCAAGCACATAGCCAAATTTAGTGTATTGTAAGTTGGTATATGGTATATGGTATATGGTTTAGGTTATAGCAGGAATCTTTTTTTAATTTATGTTTTGAAAATCAAAGTCTGAATTTCACTTTAAATGAACTATAGTAGCAAATCATTACTTGTAAGACTATCTGGTTAAGGTATAAGGTATATGATTTAAGGTATAGCAAATATCCCTTTTTAATCTATATTTTGAAAATCAAAGTCTGAATTTCACTTTAAATTAACTATAACAACAAAATTGTAACTCATAATGATATATGATTAGGGTAATAGGTTATATGGTTTAGGATATATAGTTAGGGTATCATTTTTAATCTATGTTCTGAAAATCAAAATATGATTTTCACTTTAAATTAACTATAGTAGCAAAATCATGACTCATAAGAATATATGGTTAGGGTAAATGGTATATGGTATATGGTTTAAGGTATAGCAAAAATCCATTTTTAATCTATGTTTTAAAATCAAAGTATGAATTTCACTTTTAATGAACTATAGTAGCAAATCATAACTCGTAAGACTATATGGTTTGGGTATAAGGTATATAGTTTAGGGTATATCAAATATCCCTTTTTAATCTATGTTTTGAAAATCAAAGCATGAATTTCACTTTAAATTAACTATAGCAGCAAAATCGTAACTCATAATGATATATGGTTATTGGTTAGGGTATAGGGTATATGGTTAGGGTATACCAAATATCACTTTTTTAATCTAAGTTCTGAAAATCAAAATATGATCTTCACTTTAAATTAACTATAGTAGCAATTTAGATTTTCTCCAACAAGTTCACTAACATTAAGATAAATAAAAACACAAGTTTTGAAAACCCCAAATATATAATTAAAGTTCACTACACCACTTTTCCTCACAAGTTAGATTTCTCTCCACTTTTCCCTCACCAATTTAGATTTCTCTCAAAAAATTTCTCCATTTCCTTCTCCATCCAATTTACATTTCCTTCCAAGAATTTTCCCATCCCCTCCTCACTCCAGTTTAGATTTCCCTCCAAAAATGTACTCATTTCCTCCCCTCAAATTTAGATTCCTCTACCCCACAATTTTACTTATATATTTTTATGATACACTATATAATTTGTGGTTGGATTAGGACTATTAGATGAAAAAATAAAAATGTTTATATCACCATAACTATTAGCTAGTGTGCTTTACCGATTTAGGATTAATTACATGACAAGTTTGCAAGTCATACACCATGATTCAATTTTTTTTTAACTTCAATAAGTACATATAACATATTACATATACGATGTGGAAAGAAATTGTTTAAAGTTGTGATTTAAAAAAAAAATAGGTTAATAAAATGTGCAAATTGCAGTTACAAGTAGGAAGTAAGTAACTCAATGCGCAGACCCAAAAAACCACAACCTGAACCGCTCGCAACCCGCCCGACCCACAACCCGATTGACCCGTAACCCGATTGATCCGCAACCTGACTAACTCGCAACCCGACTAACCCGAACCCGACGAATCCACAACCCGACTAACCCGTAACCTGATTGAACCCCGCCCGAACCCGTCCGATTGACACCTCTACTTAGTTCTAACAAAAAGTAGTTAGGACAATGATTCAATTCTTAATTTCCTTTTCTGGATAAGAAAATGTGAAATGGGGAGACATTGGTGAATGGTCAAAAGGCATTAAAATGGCAATCAATATGTGGGGAGTGGGAGCCGGGAGGTGATGATTGCGCCATTGGAATGTTGTGTTGTGGTGGTATGGCATGGCCAGTGGAAACAAAAAGACCAAACTATACTATGATCATGTAGTTAGATGGTCCATACTCATGCACAATAACATAAAGGCCACTAAAATCTACACGATATATGAAAAGTTTATAAAAAGGGTTACCTGCTGCTCTCTTTCTCTTTTCACATTATTTGGCTTTCACCTCCAATGACATTTTTCTTTCCTTTTGTCTCCTATGAGGAATCCATCTCCATCTCCATCTCTCCACTCAAAGGTGGTGAATAACTAACATAAAAAGAAATTTTATTTTTATCCATTAAAAAATTTCACTGTCTAGTAGTTCACTAAATTACAAGAAATTAATTATAAGATAAATATCGACCCAACAAATTCGTAAACATGCTTACAAGCGATGATTCAAAATTTATTAACCACCACCGCGACTTGGTACTACCACTCGTATCTTGTGAAGTATGACTAGTATATGAGGTCGTTTGGAAGTTGTGATTGTTAGAGTTGTGTTTGTTAAATACATGTATTAAGCATAATACAATGTTTGGAAGTGTCAAGTTGTAAAACAATGCATGTATTGTTTTGTGTATGCCCCACCAACAATCACAAAAAATGATGGATTATACAATCTCAACTAAAAGTTGAGATTGTTGTGATTGTCCTTTTAGATTTGTGTCCACTTTTTCTTTCCATTTATATCCCCAATATTTTTTGTTTTATACTAAAAGGTGAGGGTAAATGTGACATTTCCCTATAAAGTAACTTTATGCAAATCAATAGATAAACTAGAATCTCAACAACCAAACAATGTATTGTCAAAATGCATATATTGTATCAATGCATGTATTTATATTGTAGTGATTCATTATAATACAACGATTTAACATTCGCAACTTCCAAACGACCATATATAAAAGGTGATAAGGTATTATAATCCTATGACACTATACAAAAGTCTGTTGGATATGAAATACAATTCTATTGCTTCAGAAGACGAAAGTGGACGTGTGTTGTTAATAAATGAGCCGATATTTTCTTAATCTAACAAGCTTTTATTGAATTAAAGAATGAGCCACTTACGAATAACTCAGCTCATTAACAACACTATGTAGGACTGTATTAAATCAATTAAATAACTAACCAAAGAAAAGTTTATGTATAGAATTTAGGGTTAATACTTTATTCTGGCCCGAACTATGACCATATAATCAACTTTGGCCAGTGGTTTGAGAAATTAACATTCTGGCCCGAACTTTGCAGCATATAGACTCAATTGGCCGAAAACACATGGTTTGACCGTTTGTTTAGACGGTCAACAACATTGCCCGTTAGTCAACTGTACAGGTCACCGCCATGTCAGCACCAAAGAAAAAAATTTTGAATTTCAATTTTCTTTTATTATTTCCTTACCTAATTAAAAAAAAAAAAAATCGGCCACCCCTCGCCTCTTTCCTTCTTCGACCAAAACCAAAATAATCCCTAATACTAATCATTCTTCTTCTCCCTTCTTCCCCGACGAGCAGCATTCTCCCTAATTCAAATGAGCCACTAGAAGCACCCACCATATTTCCTAGGAAGGTCTTCCCTTTGAAGATCGCTTCCACCTTCAAGGTCAGCCGACAAAGTTCCACCAGCGCCTCCCTCACCGCGTTGCTGTCGTAGAACACCCGTTGCAGCCCGTCGAGAAACCTGAACATCGTCGCGAACTCGCCGTCCCACCGAATGGAGTCGGGAATGGGACCGGCCATCTGGTTCCTGGCAAGCGAGGCTGAGCATTTTCAAATTCCTGAAATATGTGGGGATCCGTCCGTAGATCTGGTTGTTGTTCAGTTCGAGATGATTCAAGCACTCCAATTTGGAAACCGAGGCCGGGATTTCCCCCGAGGTTCTGTTGTCGGCGAGATTGAGTACCACGAGGCGGCCGAGGTTGCCGATTTGGGAGGGGATCTGGCCGGAGTGGCTGTTGCCAACGAGATCCAGGACACGGAGGTTCGAGAGCGAAGAGACGCAGTCGAGGATCTCGCCAGAGAGGCTCTTCCAGTCAGCGACGATGAGCGTGGTGAGCTGGTCGAGCTTGCAGATGGCGGGGAAATGGTCCCGGTCATGTAGCCGGAGGTCCGCCTGACTTTTGTGAGGATTGGATCCTCCGACTCGCAGCGGAGGTTGATTTCGGTGACGCGGCCAGTGGCGGGGTCGCAGCTGACGCCGAAGTAGTTGGTGAATCAGAAACGAAGAAGAGGGAGCTGGGGTATTGCATACCGAGAGTGTGGACTGATGGTTGGGAAAGGGACCGTCGCGGAAGAAGGGTTGGGTAACGATAAGGTTGTGTGGCTGAGTGAGGAGAGAGAGAGAGAATGGGGATTTTATTTTATTAAATTATTATTTTCCGCATGGCATCCACGTCAGCGTAGCATGGTGATTCACTAACGGCCAATGATGTTGACCGTCTAATTTGACGGAACTTCACGAGTCGGGCCAATTAAGTCTATATGGTGCATTTTTTTTGTCAAAAGATATCATGTATTGATAAAAAAAAATAGACAGTTACACCCTGGAAACCAACCAGGCCTGAAAATCAAAGAAGCGACTCATATTCGGATACAAAGAAATCGGCTCTATATGGTACATAGTTGAGGTCTGGATATTAATTTTTGAAACCACGTGCCAAAGTTGATTATATGATCATAGTTCGGACCAAAATTAGGGGTGTTCAAACGGTTTGGTTACCATGGTAACCGTTTTAACCAGTACTATTTGGATAATGTGGTTTGGTTAATTTGGATAATTGGTTTGGTTTGGTTAAAGTTTTTAGCTTGTTTGGTTTAGGTGGTTTGGTTTGGTTTCAGACACTCCTAACCAGTCAAACCAAATTAACCAGTTAAGTATTAGTCATATATCTAACATATATTATATACACATACTTAATACTTTGCATAACCACTCAAGAGTTAACGTTCATCCCTTTTAGACTCATAAAATATAAAGCTCAATATTGCTCATATAGTGTATATTTGTATATGTAAAATGTAGACCACAACATATGGACGCCTAATTTAGATAAATTTCATACATTATGATGGATGAAAACTTGAAAGGAAAGTCATTTCCAGCCTATGATAATTGCTAAGAGACTAAGTCAATTTACATAAACACAACAATTCATTAACCCATACCATTGTCATAAATTTTTGTTAGGTGAATACTTCTATACTAATCGTAAGATGATTGTCTTAGTTGCATGTATTTTTGTTAAGGGTCAACTATAACTACGTGGTGATTGTTATGTTTTATTCATTATATAAATTGCAAATTGTTGCATTAACCGGAAAATTTTCATCGTCAATGATAATGTGATTTTATATTGGTTAATCTGGTTAACCAATTAACCAAACCGATTAAACTTTAGTTTGGTTAATTTGGTTATTGTATTAGTTTGGACGGTTTGGTTATGATATTGTATTCCATGGTTAATGGAATTTAGCCTTATTTGGTTTGGTTATAACCATGGTAACCATTTGAACACCCCTAACCAAAATAATGTATTGACCCTAGAATTTACCTTGTTAAACTCCAGCATGATACCATATATATTTCTCGTCAACTTTATCTCTTTCACTTCCGAGGTTGATCCCCAAAGCTTCACTCAAGTCATCTTCAATTTCAACCCCAAAAGCAGTGTTTATTATTATTAGACATTTAATGGGCGGAAAGAGTAAAAAACGAACAAATAACTGCAATCCTCTTCTTCAATGGAAAGACGTTTCAATTCATCTTTAATATCAACCCCAAATTAACAAACTCAACATCCATTACAATTTACAATCATAATTTAAGAAGATATTTTGTGTACATGATTTGAGAAAAACAATTAAAGGTAGAAGAAACAAAAAACCCATAAATAACAAAAATATCCTCCAATAATATATAGCACACTTTCATATATTTTTCTCCTTTCCAAATTTTCTGGCTTCTCCTTGAGTTGCGGGAAGGGCGAAGCAGTAATTGTGTGTTTGAATGTGTTGCCAATCGTGGGCTTTTGGGTTTTTTCCGTGGGAGGAATAATAAACGGAGCCATCCCACAAAACTTGCTTCGATTTTTATTTATTTGATTTTCTTTAATTAATTTGCACGTTAGCAGTTCCCCCTTTTCTCCTTTATTCCTTCACATGGGTTTATGTCACAATTTGAGAATAGGAGTATCTCATGTATAATTTTTAGTTTTTACCATTCTTTACAAAATCTTTTTACATGGTGGTTAGATCAGAAATTTCGTTTACCGAACCTTAATTTGGTAAACGGTTTTTATCGGGTATAAAATGGTTGAACCACAATTAGACTACTATTTAAGTACAAAATAACATATCAATAACTATTTTGATACAAAATTCGGTACGATTTTACAATTCATTGTTATTACCATTTTCTCATTTACATTATATGTTATGAAGTTTGCACAATATGTTCTTGATTTAGAGTGTACAAAATATCAAAATATTGATATAATTTATGATTTTTAAACTATAAACTAATTCGGTTTGATTTATAATTTTATTAGTCAAGCACACCACATTTCATGATATACTAGAAAATCATGATATATTACATGAGATGATTAATTTACATGATTAATTTAATAATTATGTTATGAAAATCATGATTAATTTAGTACAAACACTGAGAATCGCCTATTTATATATGGTCTGGTAATATAAAGTGATTAGTACACTTTTGTGTATTTTACATGGGTTGAAAAATCGTACCAACCGATGATTTTGACCAGAAAAACCTTATATCGAAAGTAAAATTAGTAGACGGTATTTAACAGTATAAAATGGTTGAACTATGGCTAAACCACGATTCAACTATGACTAAACCACGATTCAACATAACATACCCTATCACTATCTTTTCCGATACCATCTCCGGTACAACTTTTCAATTCTTGATATTTGGCCTATTTATAGATCCAGGCTTCCTCCTTCATTTCTTGATATGATGTTAGTTAGATTAAGCTGGGTGATTGCTTCTCATGGTTCGTTGTTTATAATTTCATACTGGTATTTGAGATACATCTCGATATTTTGTAGTATCGAACATTATATAATTTTCTGAGTTTGAGATGGTGATTCATTTCTTATGTTATGTAAGATCTCATATGTTTATGACAATGATCGGTGGCCCGGGACACTAGACATTTGTTTATGCTTACAAGAATATAGTTAATAATTAAGAAATAAGAGGTTAAACTTTAATTTCATGAGGTTTATTTATAGTTTCTAAACTCAAAGTATATATATATATATATATATATATATATATATATATATATATATATATATATATATATATGGGGAGTTCTACGGTACCCAGGATGAAATCCCGGGTACTGCATACCTTGAGTAAGAAAACGCTATCCAGGACTTGAATTGGCTGGTCTTTCGGACATGATACTATACTTTAACCCTTAAAGATCAAAATCTAGATCTTAATTCTCTAAATCTTATACCCCAAGATCAATTTAATTAGAAACTATAATCGACGGTTATGATTCGTCCAAATATAGGCAAAAAAATCAATGCAACATCTTAGGGTTTATAGTTTATGATTTAGATAATTAGGACCTAAGATTCCCTCATTAAGGATTAAGGTATAGTATCATGCCCAAAAATCCTACTCATTCGAGGTCTAAATAGCGTTTTCATACTCAAGGTATGCGGTACCCCGGATTTCACCCGGGGTACCGTAGAAGGCACCATATATATATATATAGTTCTAGGTACCCAGGGTGAAATCCGGGGTACCGCATACATTGAGTATGAAAACGCTAGCCAGAACTTGAATTGACTGATCTTTCGGACATGATACTATACTCTAGCCCTTAAAGATCAAAATCTAGGTCTTAATTCTCTAAATCTTATACCCCAATATCAATTTAATTTGAAACAATAATCGACGGTTATGATTCGTCCAAATATAGGCAAAAAATCAATGCATCATCTTACGGTTTATAGTTTATGATTTAAATAATTAGGGCCTAGGGTTCACTCATTAAGGGTTATGGTATAGTATCATGCCCAAAAATCCTGCTAATTCGAGGTCTACATAACATTTTCATACACAATATATGCGGTATGCCAGATTTCACCTAGGGTACCGTAGAAGGCACCTCTATATATATATGGCCAAATAGTTTGAAACACAGATAGAAAATGGAAACTTTAATTTTTATTTATTTTTAATCAACACTACTCCATAGTATGAACTCTTAGATTAAGCCAATGATATTTGGTGTATATGAGCAACATGTTTATGGTTGACATATTAAAAAAATCAAATATTATGCTAATAATTTTCTTTTATTAGAATCATTAAGCAACCAAGTCAAGTATAAGCATAAACAAACAAACAAACCAGGTCTCCCATTTTTTATCAACCACGTTTGAATACTAAATGCAATTAGAAAAATATTAGTACTTGGATGCTTATGAATTATAAATACGTACTTACATGTTCTCAAACTTTTAGTAATCCAACCAAGAGAAATAAGTACAAAAATCTTAACTAAAATCAACAATCTAAAACCAAATATATAATCTATTAACTATGAGTTGATTATCATGATTACGAAATTCATAAGTTAACTTTGATGTAGTCATATTAAAATATTTATTATATTGATAATAAAAATATCAAATTCGATGCACAACTATGATTTGAGCTCATTAATTTTTTACCAATACATCAATAAATAAAAATCTAAATTTGTTACAAAAATATGATTTGAGCTAATTGAATTTTCCGGCCAACTGGCCGGGTACAAGCTAGTAAAAGGAAAAAAATCAAGTCGTGCATATGCATTGCAATAACTTCCTTAAACCCCCACCCAATGACCCAACCATTTCCTATTTCTCCTTCTTCTCCCCCTTTCCTTGTGCTCATCTTTTCTTTCTCTCTTGCTCTCGCTCTTCTCCCTCTTTCTTCGTCTTCTCTAAATCTACAGCAATGTTTTTCTGGGCAGGGAAAGCGTAACAATTTGGACTGCGCCTGTGCTAAAAGGAATCGACACTAACGGAAGGAGTAGAGTAAGGTGGGGGTACAACCTTTGAACATCCATTAAATACTCTTCCGTTAAACGACAGGTGCTCTGTTTTTCCCTCAATGTACTCTGTTATTTTTTTTCCTTTTACTCTTTAAATGTGAATCTGTCGAGTAAAATAAACAGAAAAAGGAAGTGAACCCTTTGAGCAACATAGAGAGGAATGGAGGAAAGGGCGAATCTTTTCCTCTTGTTTTTACTCTAGTGATCACTGTTGGGTAACCTTCAAAACGCAGGCTTTTGTTTTTTTCAGGACGAAGAACAATGTACCCAGTTCCAAATCTCTTCTTCCCCAAGTTGCAATTCTTCCTTTTTTTTTTTTTTTTTCTCTGTTGAGATTGGCTGTCACTTTCTTGTTTAAACAATTTGTAATAATGTATGCATACATTGTTCGCCTTTTGATTTGTTTATTTGTTCGGGTAGTCTCCCTTATTTTATTTTTGGAGATGGGTATCTACACAATATATAATAGTGCAAAGGGAAAACTGCTAGCCCCATTTCAAATTTGCAGGCTCTAGAGCGATTTGTGGAAGGGTATTTTGGGAAGGAGTGGTAAAATATTTTTCCTGCGTATTTGCTTGGCTGCGTGTCCTGCCGCCAGCCCTACGTTGCGCGCACAAAGAGAAAAAGAAAAGAAAATTGGCATATCAGCAAGCCCGCTAAAAAATAAAACGTAAACAAAATGTTGGGCCTTCCTTCCGGCCCTTTATCCCTACAATTATAAAAAATGTCATGGGATTTTTGTTTTTTCAATCAGACGTTTGTTCTCTCTAATGTCTAATCCCCCACCCCCAAGGCCCCATCAAACTGGCCACCAGCAAAACATTAGCATGTAGCTCCTTCATTATCTGGTGTATGACATAGTTGCATATTGTAAAATGGATCCATAAATAAAATATCTATGAAAGTAAATAAGTGATTAGCAATTCATCTAATCATGTCATATTATCACAGTGGGTAACGGACGATGATTTATAAATTATTAGAGATGACAATTATCCACTCATGAGGAATATTACTCACATTCAAGTAGACACATTGATTACGGCGTAGGGTATGGGTGAAGTGTATATGGATTTGGGTTATGTAGATGAGTTTGGCTAGGGTATGTATATTGTTTCCATAATCTAAATAGATATGGGTTGGGTATGGATACTCATTTATTTCCGGTTGTTTTAACTACACATAAAAAATTGGACCTATTTGTACAACTTAACCGGTTTTGGTATCAAAATGTAAAACAAAAATTGTAGGTACTCAAATATAAATTTGATCAATATTTTGAGGACTTATATGCAAAAATAAAATAAAATTTAGATACTAAATCTAAAGATCTATTGATTTTAGGTATCAAAATGTAATTTACATATGAATATGGGTACAAACTCAAATCAACCCAAGTAAATGTGTATGAATATAAACCCATCAAAATCTACCCATTTACCATCTATTTGGATGTCATATCCAACTCAATCACTCGATTGAGTTGGATAGTAAAATATTCATGGGTATGAGCAAAATTTTCATCCCTAAAAATCACAACTCAAATATTATTTGGTCGAATATTGCATATTAAACTGTATTATTGAATATGTAGAAGCGATGTACAATTGTAAAATTAGTATTAATTTTCAGAATTAGAAGCAATTATATCTTTGTGCAAACTATAAGCGAGTGATTCTTTGAATGTTTTAGCCCGGTCAACCACTAGCCTTAACCCTCTTGCTAATATGACATGATTGAATTCAACAATGATGAGACGAGATTGATCTTGAAATACTGGTTCAAAAACTGTTTTATGTATTTATGAATTTTTACGACAAAGGCATGGATAATATGAGTAAAGATGAACCTGATTGTGAATTTTTTATTCTTTAAATAAATTAAATAGTTTAGATCATGAACTAACTTTACACTTACTCGATTGGTTGAATGATTTTATTTAATCCTGTTTAAATGGGTTGACAGTTTTGTTGAGGGTTGATTGATCGGGCTGCGAATTAGCAATTGCACGACCTGGTTTCTTTGTTTACTGGTTGGGTCATATTTTGGCTTATCGGGCATAGCAAGAAGTACACTTATTATTTGTGGGACACTTAATGAGTGTGTGAAGAGGAGACTCCTTAATTCTTAAGATTTTACTTTATTTATATTATGTTTTTAATGGATGGGGAGTTACAAACTTGGGCTTTTTTCACCTTTTTTTTCATGATAAGTTTTTTTCAAAAAGTCACACCTACGTGCTTCTCTCCTCTACTGATTGAAACTGATGACCTCTTAACAATCGCCAAGCTCTCTGAAGAAAGAATACACATAACAGAGATGGCTTGGAGATGTGAATGGTTTTCTTACAGAAAAAAATCATTATAAAAGGAAGGGTAGACTTTTTAAACAATCAAGGGGAATGAGAATCCAAAACTCATAGATTAAAAAAAAATGATATTGGATTTTAGTTATTTTCTATTTAAATTTCATATCATCTTATAATTTTATGACCGAAACCAATAAATTTTACAGTGAAAATATGAATAAAAATGTTATGGTATTTTTTTCAGAGAAAATAAGAGAATCATAACACACACACTTTTATGAAAGTGTAACATATACATTTTCATTTAATTAAATTTCCATCTACCATCTGATAACTAAATAAATTTTATTTCAATACTTTTATTGCATTTTTTTATTATGCTAAAATAATGAATTATTATAATATAATAACGAAGCTCTCTCCATGCTCTCAATATCAAATTCTTCTAAAATAAACGTTCCTATGCTCTTACTCCCGTCCCCGCTCACGCTCTGCAAATTGGTTACCTAAGTATTATCCCTCCCGTCTGTGAACTGCAACTCCTTCTTTCTGCTGGTACGCATCATGATGGGTGGAGAGTTTCCCAGTTGAAGCACGGTTCCAACACTGTAGTCGTTGAGGGTGTCTTCAAGAGGAGTTGCATAACCCATCTACATCTCTACTCTTTGGACCTCCGCCAAACCGCTATTGAGATAACTTTTTTAGTGTTGGTAACCGTAAGATTCACAAGTTGTTTTTTTTTTACAACTCTTATATTTAAGAATTGTCGGTTAGAAAACGATACTGGTAGTGGGTAGCCGGGTAGGGTTGATAGCGAGAATTGTTTTGGAGACATTTCTTTCTCATCTTTATCGACTAGGTGGGATTTCGTGTTGAATATTGATACTAGCATTCTCAAAAGAATTCAGTTGATTTCGAGTAGATTAGTGACTATTTCGGGACTCTTACATGGGTTGTTGTTGCTCTTTCAAATTAGCGACGATTTCTATATTGGATTGGATGTTGTTGGAGATTCTTTTTTGGCGGTGGTTGTGCAAAGCATGTTAGTAATGCAAAAATTATAAGGAAATACATTTTAAGCAATTTACGACAAAACATAAGAAGTATAAAATTTCTTCTGAAACATGGAATAAAAATATAGAAAATATTAATGTAAGGATGATCTAATCAACAAAATATATATGAACTAATAGTTACTAATATCAATCGACAAGTAGCACAAAAATTATTTTCAAATTGTTAATAAATTATTTATATAATCTAAATCTTTTAAAAATATGAACGAAATGATTTCACATTAAACACTAAAAAAATAAGTAAAATTCATCCGACCAACGGGTCGGGTACAAACTAGTTGAGTATTATTGACGATGAAACGAGCTCCCCCTTTTTGTCTCCTTCTCTCATCGGGTTTTACTTGCTTTGCTCCCTACATTCTCCGTTTTTGTCTTGAATTTGGATTTGTCATTTCCCCTTGCTTTCCACTTCTCCCTTCCTTTCTTCACTCCCATGTGCTCTTTGGGGAAATGCATTAAACTCACTCCATTCCTCGTCATACCCAGATCAGTGCTCGATTCCCAGTTTCCGAGTCATTTCTGAAATGGGTTTTTGAGGTTAGTGCTCTTTCTTCTCCGGTCAAGCTCCCAGTCCTTAACCAGTGTTCCGTCTCTGAAAATCTCTCTTTTTGCAGGAGCAGGACCCGGAATTGCGCTCTAACTGTTCGACAAAAGTCCGGAGAGAGAGAGAGAGAGAGAGAGAGAGAGAGAGAACAGAAAAATGAGAGATTTCCCCTCTTGTTTCAGCGAGAATGGAGTTCAGGTAGCCGATTCTTCTTCTTCTTTTGCCTCGTCTTCAACCGTCACTAAAACTGCTCAGAATCTAGTCACTTGCTTGTACCAATGTCGAATCCGTGGCCGTTCCTGCTTGATCACTGTCTCCTGGACCAAAACCTTGATGGGTCTAGGACTAGCCCTTGGAATCGACGATTCCTCACACCATTGTCTTTGCAAAGTTGAAATTAAACCGTGGCTGTTCTCTAAGAAGAATGGGTCGAGGAGCTTGGAAGCTTACTCATGTAAAATAGACGTCTATTGGGATCTCTCTTCAGCGAAATTCGGATCCGGTAGCCCTGAACCACAACAAGGGTTTTACGTCGCAGCTGTAGTAGACAAGCAAATGATTCTCCTTCTGGGGGACATGACTAAAGAAGCCTTCAAGAAAACCAACGCCAGTGCCATTCTACCTCTTACTTCTAGTGCTGTTTTTGTAGCCAAGAGGGAACATCTCTCTGGCAAGAAAGTGTTCAGCACTAAGGCTCAATTCTGTGACAATGGTCAGGTCCACGATCTCGTCCTTGAATGTGACACGATTGGGGTCAGCGATCCGTGCCTCATGGTTCGAGTGGACCGCAAAACGGTGTTGCAGGTGAAGCGGCTGAAATGGAAGTTCCGTGGCAACCACACCATACTGGTTGATGGTTTTGCTGTTGAAGTTCTGTGGGATGTTCATAATTGGCTGTTTGGTGGGGGTAGTTCAGTAGGGAATGCTGTGTTTATGTTCAGGACGTGTCTTGAGAAGCTGTGGGGCGGAGGAAGCCAGCAGCAGCACGACGATGATATGAGTTTGTTGACTTGGTCATCATTCTCACAGAGATTCGTGGACTGCAAATCACATCAAAATCCTGATTTTAAGTTGGTCTTGTATGCTTGGAAGAGTGAATAGTTTTAGAGTCTATATCAGTGAGTTGGTCATTTTCTATTCATTATGTAATTGATTTACACGTAGTTTTTAAGATTGATCAAACACGGGCCATTTTTCGTTTCCCGAGTAAATCAGCAGTTGAATGAATCAAACACACCAAAATTTGTTCTATATATTACTTGCTGCACATTTCTTGTTTCGTGTAAACCAAGGAAAAACTTCAGAGTTCAAGATCACAAGGCTTCATGGTGAAGTTCTCAGTTAACTATTATATGCTTTACTGAAAGTGGGATCTAAACATGTGGAAAAGCTCCATTTGTGCTTCTGTTTGTTGCAGTGTTTTCTACTGCAGGTTTCTATTTCAGGATGAGGTTATGACAGAGTTTCTGATTAGTTTTATGGTAGTTGCACTTGCACATGGATGGATAACTTCACAACGTGGTATAGAAATTCTACCTTATCCTTTTGTTTGATTCTGTCTACGGACTTACATATACAAGGTTCCATGATCATAGACGCTCAATTAGTGTCTTCATACCTGCAGTGAAGGGTTGCCATTTACACTTCTGTAGAACAATATCAGCTGAAGAATGACGTTAAAGAGGTGAAACCTTGCAGGAACTGGAAGGATGACTGGAGACCAGAGGTTGTAAGATCAAGTCTTTCCCCGCCCTCTTTGCCTTTCTGTTTTGACTGCACCTTTTTCACTGTTTGTGCCATATTGAATCACTGGGGAGCTAACCCAGTAACTACAGTCTACAGATTCCTGAAGCTCTACAGCATCGTTTCTTGCTCTTTGGTTTTCTTTGACTGGACACTAGTCTGTTCCCGCTTCCCGGCTATGCATTGCATTCTTAGTAGTTGCAACTTACCCCGTATATAGACTAGGTCCTTTTTTCTTGTTACTTGCTTCAAGGGCTATGAGGATGAGTTGGTGTTCAGGGCCCTGGAAAACCTAACAGAATCCACCGAGAGGGCAGTCGCAGCATCACGGGGCTCAATCGGCGCAATCGAAGCGTTGGGAGGGCAAATCGCGGTCTCAATTGAGGAGATGGGTAAGACGGTAACTGAGAATTTGTGTCGGGCCCTCGCAAAAACTATGAGGGAGGTGCTGACCGGCGTTCTGAAGAGCCTCGAGCGACCACCAGAGCCCTGGTCAGCGCCAGCGGTGGCGATAGGCGCCATGGAGCCAAGCGCGCATGGAGGGGCGCCTGTGATAGCGGAACCAAAGCCGTCGGGGACCGCGGTCAGAAAGGAGACGATGGTGGCGGAGCCCAAGTCGGTGGGGCAAGAGACAGGGAGCATGGCGAGGAGGCTCCACTCGGGCCGGTAATTAGTGGGCCGGGCTTGTTGCCAGTCCCGACAACACAAGAGATTTATGAGGCTCGCGGGAAGAAGAAGATGGCTGAATTCGATGGAGAGCCGTGGCTGACTAGGCCGCAAGGGGCGGAACGGGGATGCCGGGTGGCCAAAGCTTCCATGGACCGGGCCCCGAAAAAGAAGACAATGAATTGAGCTTCGCGGACCGGGAAGGCTGGTGGGTGGACCTAGGGCTCGACGATGTTGGATGGGGATGGGTAGCCGACCCAAAGTTGGGTCGAACCGAGCGGCCAACCGGGTCAATGATCGATCGGGTGGGAAGCGGTCAAATCAGAACCGGCCAGACTGGTCTGTACCTAACAGAACCGGGTCAAATTCCGAGGGGCAAAAGCTGGGGCGCGACTGGAGGAGGCGCTAGACACAGCCAACAAGGACCCGAGATGGGGTACCCCCCATGGGGAACTCATCGAGCAGACAGGTACGGGGTGGCCAGGGTCTGGAAGTAGGGCAAGGGTTCGGGACCAAGCCAGGGCGTGACGAAAACTATCAGAGGGAAATGGCCGACTGGGCCTACTCCTACCAGCAGGGTGCAGAGCCTGACTACTGTCACTATGGACCCGGTCGTCAACCACCACACACGGATGCCGACAGGTATGGATATAGTAACCCGCTGTATGTCTATGAGGATGAGTTGGTGTTCAGGGCTAAACCCCCAGTTATCGAGTTTCCTAAATTCGATGGTAATGGTGATGTGATTCTGTGGTTATATGCGAAGGAGAGGTGGTTAGGATGGCGGATCTGGCGTCCTTCTATTTGGAGGGAGATGCCCGCCAGTGGTGGGAATGGACTGAGAGGGCCTATGCAACAGCAAGGGACAGTATCTCATGGGTCAGGTTTCAGGATGAGCTGCGGTACCAGTTCGGGAGAGTTGAGGGATGGGTGCCGGGGCAGCTGGCCAAGCTGAAGCAGACGGGGACGGTAGTAGAGTATCGGGCCGAGTTCCTGAAGCTAGGGAACCAGTGCAAGGAGATGACCGTGGAAACATTGGTTGGGCTCTGTATGTCAGGCCTGCGATCGGAATTAGCCGCAGCGATCAAACTCTTTGAACCTGACTCTCTTCGAGTTGCTTTCAGGCTTGCAGGTCGCAAGGAGGAAGAGCTTGCCAGCTGGAGATATTCAGTGGGAAGGATCTAGAAGGTGAGTGGTGGAGCTGGGGTCAGCGCTGGGCAAGAGGCTGCCGCGTCTTCACCGCCCACAGGAGCTACCAACGCGGTCGCCGCGGGGCTACTCTAAGGGGTAGGTTTCCAGCTAGACTTCCGCCAAGAGGGTTCGTTAGGTTGACCAGGCGGAGATGGACTAGAAGCGCAGAGATGGACGCCGTTTCAATTGTGATGAGAGGTATACAGTGGGGCACCAGTGCGCCAAGGGGAACCTGATGCTGCTGGTCTGGAATTGGGAAGACGAAGGTGAGGAAATGGGGGCAAATGAAGCCGAGGCGCAGAAGGAAGAGAAGAAAGAAGGCCCACCTTGAGGGCAAGGTGGGTTTGAAGATTGATGGAATGTCAGAAATACATTCTTTTGGAGTTTATTGTTGTTAATTATTATTCAGGATATTTGTTGTTATGTTGGGTATTTCGGGAACTATTGGTGGTTATTCGGTTAAGTTAATTATTCGGGTAGTTAGAGGGAATTAGTCGGATTATATATATTGTGTTAGGAGAAGGTTAGAGGGCAAGCAATAACATAATAATTATTCCCTAGCTGAACAACTCTCCCTCCTCTTCTTGCCGTCGGCCATCCCTCTCCGAGAACCGACCTATGCTTCTCTCTCTCCTAAATCCCAGTTCTTTCTAATCCAAATTCTCAATTCTCATATCGATCCCAAACCTAAAATAGCACACCAAGATCCGTGTTCTGTCTGAAGATGGTGGGTGGGTCATGGAAGTTAGTTAGATTTATTTAGTGGAAAATAAATTTTTAATAGATACATGTAAAATAAATTTCATTTCAGTTATAAAATGTGTAATTACTACCTTTTTTGTAGATATATTTAAAAAACAACTAAACCAACTTAAACCGGTTGGATCTAGGTCAGACCATTAAACCTCAAACCCCTTGTTTAACCGGCTCAATGACTTAACCCGGTTTGATAACTTTGCTTGCTTCTCTGTCTCTTTGCTGTTTCTTGCTGCCATTCTATTGTGTGTCTTGTGGGACGTATGGGAAATCAAGAGAATCTAGTTTCTTTCTATAAGTTGACGAGTGAGCTGGGCACAAAAAGCCCAATTAAGCTATTATGCAAATGGGTGTATGTATGCGTCAGCACGTTTGATAAACGGTCCTTGTGATTAGCCATTAGATACGCTGCGCGTAATAAGCATGCTGCATATCCTGCATAGCCCAATGAGCCCAATAATCTCTTAGTAGTTTAACCATGATTGACTCGTTAAACTTTTTTGGAATATCTAGGATTTTGTCAAAGTCCTCAAAATTAAGGAATTTTGAATATGCTCTCTAGTTGCGACTGAGCGCGACCTTCCACACCAGAAAAGTTTACATTGAATTTGAACTCTCATTTTTTCAGGATTCTTTTATAAATAAAATAATATTATTTTTCATTTTAATTTAATGTTAGATGGCATCCGATATATATATATGATCCTAGATTGTATATCAAACTTGGATCGAGAAATGCAAAGTATTTGGCCGATCAATCAACACATCGATCATAAGTGATTTGGCACACCAACCCTGTAGGCAGACTGTCCAAATTATTTTTAGAGTATTAACTAGAAGAAGGATTAGCTCTCTCCACTATTTTCTTTCTTTCGTGTGTTTGTTTAGAATTTTCTTAAAAAAAAGATGAACTATTATTAGCCTACCATCTTTTTATACTTCGATTAGAACGACATATGAGGTCATTTGTTCCAACTGTTTGTCATATTCACATATATTTTAGTCCATTGAAGACAATGCCCTCTTTAAAGTGTGTGTGGGTGTGGATGGGGGAATGTGATGTGATGAGATGCTTTGCAATACTCTATACATGCTACATGTTTAATGGTTCAATTTCAAAGATTATATCCAATTGCCGTAGTTATGTTATCCATGTGAAATTTTTGAAACTAATAAAGATGTTTTTTCATCAATTGACTTGATTTGTCATCCACCAAGCATGATGTTAGAAAAATACACAGATTTTAGGGTTACAAGTAGTAGTAATAGGGGGGTATTTACGGCAAATGAGGGCCGAGTAGGCTAGGGCATAAGTTAGGGACTTAGGGTATTATTAGGTTTTTCGGAGTATTTTCTATATGTATGTACTTTGGGTCTTACGTTTGAAGGAATGAGAAAAGTATTAGCAAAGAATCTCTCTCAAAACCCCAATCTCCCTTCTCTAAACTTCGTAACCTATCCTTAATTGTCGAAGGCCATTCTTCTATTCGATCCCCAATTTCTTCTCTTCTAAATCCCTAATTATGTTCTTCCCAATATCAATTTCTAATCCTATTTCAAAGCCCTAAACAACCATAGTTCTTTCACATGTGCATTGCTCATCTTACTTTGAATCAATAAATCTAGAGATTTCACTTGATATAGGGAGGCTAGTGTAGAGACTAAGAAGAATGTGATAGCAATGGGATACTTTGATTATATTAATAAGCTTTGAATGTCATGATATTTAGATTCATTATAGATTT